TTTAATTTTAGCCTATCTAGTAGGTATATAGTGGTATCTTAGTGTGGTTTAAATTTTCATTTCTTGATGACTAACGACGTTGAGCATCTTGTTATGTGCTTATTGGTCATTTATATATGTCTTTGATGCAGAATCTGTTCAGATCTTTTTGCCCTTTTTGGTACTGGATTTTTTGTCTATTAGGTAGTAAGAACTGTTTGTATATTCTAGATATAAGTTGTTAGTTATTTGTATTATGAGTGTTTTTTCCCATTCTGTAGCTAAAAACGTTTTTGTAAAAAAAGCCTTCATTTTATTTCTCTAGTTTTCTGGTTGTGTAAAATGGGAGGATGGTTTGCTTATTACTCCTTTATGGATAAAAGCCATGTGTACTTCCCCTTTATACAAAGCCTTGTCCTTTAGCTAAGAGTTTTCTTTTCCCATTCCCATGCTCCCCATCCTCCTTTTTTTTTTTTTTTTTTAATCCTGAATAACTTCTCTTAATATTCAGATCTCAGCTCAAAGTTTACTTGCTCTGGAAAACCTTCCCAAATCCTAAAAAGTCCTATAGGTGCTTTTTAAATATGCTTTTGTGGTTTGTATGCATCTCCATGTTTTCATTGCCCTCTAGAGTTTAAGCTTTGTTGGGACAGGGAAAGTGGCTTATTATGTTCATTACTAGAGGCTAGTCTAAAGTCTGGCAAAGACTAGGTATCCAAAGAGCTCTTCAATGAATAATTATTTAGAATATCAATAATAGGAGGTGTATATTACCTACAATTTTTCTGAGAACAGATGGGTTTTTAATTTTGTTATCAAATTTATGAAAAGGAATCATCCTGTGTTCTTATTAAAGTTTAAAAGATGACAGTAATGCATTTTAGTCTTGGTGGCAATCTTCTAGAAGGTATGCATTATTCTTGTGCACAGTATTTTGCATATTATACAAAATCCATCTGAACATTCATAATCCAATTAAGCTTTCAGTTTTGTTTTTGAAACTAGCTTGTTCTATAAGCTTCCTTTAATTATTGAAGAACTAAAAATATTTCTGATGACATTTTGTTCTGATCATTTAAAAGAGAAGCATAGCATTATGTGTAAAAAATTGATCCTTGAATTAAAGTTTTTTGGACAATTTTTCTTGTTGTTTTTGACAGATTTTTAAAGCTTGCTTTGGAAATTTTCTAACATGTATATACCTTTTCTTCCAAGATTGAAGAATGACAAGGCCTTGCGTCTCAACCTTATTGGTAAGTGGGTTTTACTTATTAAAATTCTGGCTAGAGTGTGTGAATTTCTGCCCTATACCTATTTTTATGTTTATTTTCCTAGTGAAATACTACGTTTATCAAAGTGAATTTTCTTTACCAGACTGGATTAAAATGAAACAAAATGGAACAAATCAATCATTAAACTTTTGGAATAAAGAATGTTAATTTCTACCTTGGTTTTTCAGAAATTGTTTATATTTAAACTACCTACCTGTCTACACACATGTATGCATCCATCCATGCATCTATCCGTAAGGTTTAATTCTAACTCCCTGTTAGGATTATGGAATAGTATAGCTTATATATTATGGAAAAAACAATTCATATTTAATGATGTGGATACATCTTCAATCTCTATCTCTGTCACAGTCTCTTTTTCGGGGGTCAAATTTATTGTTAGTAAATTTTTACTGATAAGTCTGAGATTTTAAAATACTATCAGGCTTTCTTACTAAAAGGTATTTGAACCCTCATCTCTGATGCTTCATCAGGTTATAGAAAAATATTTCTAATGGGATATTGGTATGCTGTAATACTGAGATATCTAACTGAAAGTGACCCTGATGGTTAGATTTATTTATAAGAATGAATTCTGTTGGTTCTTGGATAGTATTTCTCAATCACTTTGCACACTATCTAGCAGCTCTTGTGTGCTTAATGTACTAACCTTGGGGCCCTGGACAGTTTACTTAACCTCTCTTATCTGTAGATGGGAATAATAATAGTGCAGATTTTCAGAGGAGTGTGAAGCTGTTTATATAGTGTTTGCAGCTTATTAAATGTTTAGCAAATATCATTTTTCATCATTAATCGTTTGTTTTATTATTTTAGACAAATTCTGTCCTTTGCTTTTTAAATACTTCAAGCTAAATGTTCTGTTACAGTATTCTTTTTTCTTGTTTTGCATCCATGTTGGATAAGAAATATATGCAAAAGAGCATCCATCCCACCTCTGTCTTTTCCCTAAATTAAAATGTGACAGTTTAATTTCTGACAGACTGCTTTAATTAGCTTTGAGCCCACACAAGATTTTATATTTAACATTGAAATAAATTTTGGTTCTGTTTTAAACACATCAGTGTTGAGAATTATAATAAATACCTCTTTGCTCAAGTTATGGCTTGTAGTGCTAAACTATCTTGGTACTTCTTATTCATAGGTGAAAAACTTCAGTGGTTTCAAAATCATCTTGATCCCCGAAAAGTGAGATATTCAAAGAAAGATGCTTGTGAATTAATTGAAAGGTAAACCTTGGGCAATGTTACGAGCAAAGAGTCAGAAAAGATAATTCTCCAGCCTGGTTCCTTAAGAGACAGAGCTCTGTCCTGCATTTGCAGAAGAGCAAATGGGCTTTGTTAACAGAAAGACTGGATTTATATCCTGGCTTAGCTACTTTAGTAGGTTTGTAACCTTTCTGGGCCTTAGAGTGGTAGTTAACCCAGTTTCTTGGGATCAGGAAAGCCTTCCTGGAGAAATATCTAAACTGGCACCTGAAACGTAGGGATTAGCAGATCCAGGTAAGGTAATTTGAAAAGTGTCTAGTCAGAGAGAACAATATCTAAAAGGCTCCAAGGTGAGAGCAAAGAGAACATATTTTATGATCTGCCAGACATTTAATATGACTGAAATAACGAGTTTAAGGGGGACAGTATAGCAGGTATAATAAGTGACAACCAGCTCATGAAAGACCTTAGGTGTCAGTCTCAGAGTTTGGACCTTCTCTAAGGACATAATGAGCCATAGGAGGCTTTTACAGCAGGCACCTGAGATGATCATGTTTAAACTTTGGAAAGATCGACAGTTGTGAGAATGAGGAAAATGTGCGAGGGAGACATGGCTCTGGCCAGAGGACTGTTGAGAGGCTGATGTAGACATCTAGGCAAGAGATGATGGTGGCCTCTGCTTGGTTAGTAGTAGTGTGATAAAGAGAAAAGAACCATTCTAAAGATATTGAGAAGGCAGAAATCTCAGTCTTTAGTGAAAACTTAGATATAGAATGAAGGAGAGAGAGGAGTCCAGGAGTATGCCTGCATTCCTCACTTGGGCAAGTGCACGAATGGTCCCACTATTTCCTGAGATAAGAAGCCCACGAGATGGAGTCGTTTGATGGGGGAGGTTGGGGATAGGGTGATGACAAGTTTGGTTTTGGTGAAACCGCTAAGGGACATCTAAATGGAGATGTCCAGTAAGTGGCTGAATGTGAAAGTCTGCAGTTCAACAGATACTTTGATACCAGGCTGTGATTTGGTCCATGAAGTTAAGGAAATGGTAGAGTTACCCAGGGAAGGGGTACAGAGGTTCGAGGACCTGAGGAATTCAGAGGAACATAAACATTTAAAGGACAGCTGGGGACTAAGGTTTCTATGAATTAATATAAGCCAAATACATAAGACTTTGTAACTGATCATTTTCTTATTTTTCAGGTATTTAAATCGATTCAGCAGTGAGCTGGAGCAGATCGAGTTACAGAACAGCATCAAAGGCAGGCGGGGAAGGCGGCACTGTTCCCGGGAGACAGTCATCAAGCAGACGATGGAGCGGGAGCGGCAGCAGTATGAAGGTTATGGCCTCGGTGTGTTCACTGTCGTGATTTTTTCTTTTAAAAATACATAGCAGTATCCGATTTATAATTCATTTCAAAGGTTTTACTTATTCTGTTTATTTAGTTTGATTTTCTTCCTTTGATTTCCTTTTCTTTGTATTTAGAATACTTTTGGATTCTTTTTTTTCCCTCTGCATTGCCAACTAAACTATCAATTTTGCGACAGTGATATCATCTCTTTCTACTGTGATAGTAATGCTGATAACTTCCAAATTTATATTGTCAACACTGACTTGTCCCTGGAACTTCAGATTTGCAGTAGCAAACCTGGGTTTCTCAAACTTTCTGGTCAGATGTCTTACGGGCATCTCAAACTTGACGTGTCACAAAGCTAGGTCCTGTTTTTCTCTGAAAACTTGCTCCTCCTGTGAGTTTCCTGTTTCAGTTAGTGGCATCACCACTTTACCAGTTGCTCAGATCAGAAACCCTGGAGTCACTTTCACAGTTTACATCTAACTCATCGGCAAAATATATTTAGAATCTGATGACTTTACCACTGCTACCACCACCTCCCTAGTTCAGGCCACCATCATCTCAACTGTACCATTGTAACAGTCTTTCAGCTGGTCTCTGTGCTTCCACTCTTTCCCCCTAAAATCTGTTCAACATGTAGTGGCCAGATTAATTGGCAGTAATAAACAGAGCACATCCAGAGTGAACATTTATTGGCAACAGAGCCAGTACTGGAACTCAGATCTGCCATTCTTCCGACTCTGCCATAGTGCTTTTCCGAGGATCAGGGATGCGTCTGGTAGACAGATTCCAACTAGTTTACAGGTGTGTAGGATCCTGTGGGGAAGTTGTCACCGAATTCTGTTTTGATAAGGTTCTGAGAAGACTAGATGTGACCACCTACCCCCTATTTCTTGGTGGTATAACTATTTCTTACTCATTAAAATTCCTTTTTAAAAACTTTTGTATTTAATTTATATCTTTTAATACCTAGCCCTTCACACTCTTATTTTCTGAAACTATTGTAAAAGTCAGTATGCAGTATATCAAACATGTTTGTTTTATCTTCTTCATTACTTGATACTAAATTTTAGTTAATATTGTATTGCATTGGCCAGATTTTTGCCACAGTGTTTCAGTGTTTGTTGTACATACCTCTTGCGTTTCACCAATTTAAGTATGATCATACATATAAGTTTATGATGAATTTTCTAATCATGGTAAGGAACTGTCATACACATAGTTTTTATTAAAGATGGCTTTAAATTTTATTGAACTTCATTGAGTACCTATTGATTATAGTATTTAAAAATTTTCTTTTCACATTTTGATAACGTGATTTTTTTAACATAATAATCCTTGCATTCCTCAGATAAATTCTACTTGCCAAGGTAAAGTATATGCTTGAAAAAATTGTATTTTTTCACCAAGAAAAAACATAACATAATCTGGCATGTTATTTTAGGGGATTGATAGTTAGATTTTGCTGGATACCTTTTATGGTTAAAAGGGCAGAGTTTATTTTGTTAATAGGTTTTATTTCATAGATTCTGTGCTAGAATTTATTATTTAATACCGTTTTTCTTAAATCATCATCTTAAGTTAAGCCCTTTATACTTCCCAAATTTAACTTTTGATGTTAAAGATAACAATGCTTTGGAATCCTGTTTTCTTTTGGATATTCTTGCTGTCTGTCAGTTATTGTTTGTTGTATCTGAAATGATAAATTGGGGAAACTGTAAAATGATGAAAATATTGCCTAATGCATATAAATGATTTTCTTTTCCAGAAATTCCAGACATTGTGACTGCAAGTAATCTGAAAACTTTTAGGTGAGGCTGTTTTCTTGTTCCCTTGAAGCTGTGTATAAAATATATGAGGCATGAACTTTCTTCCCTTTTGAGTCTAGACATTAGAACTAAAAGAAAATCAGGGGTTTCTTTTAACCTTTTCTCTTTTATCAGACCAAGTAAGAATTTTCTGAAGTTGTGTTTATTTAAAACACCTGATATACACCAAAATGATAATGACATGGTATACCTTTTGTTTTTCAGTGTAGTCTAAAATACTTTAATGCTTCAAAGAACTTGATTTCACTGTTCTTCTCCAGTTCTTATTTTTTAAAAAGATAACAGCAATAGACTTGGTGGCTCAGAGTCATATCCCCAGACTGTTGTGCAGTAGCCTCTTTTAGAAAGAAGATGGTAAATGGGGACTGATATCAGGGAAAGGAGCTGCATGGTCCAGTGGTCCCTCTAATTGTCCTCCTGTGTGTTACCAGGGAGACCACTGAGTAGGATTTCAATTCTTTAGTTTTCAAACATAAGTTCTGTTTTATCAATCATTTTGGTCTTAACTAGGCCATGTTGATGGGTCTGAAATTTAACGTTAATTGAAATTAGATAAATTTAAATACAGTCATCTTTTGTAAATTCATAGAAACTAAATTAGCTCTAATAGAATTCATCTATCATATTTAAGAAGCAGTTTGTTTATTAGGTCATGTATAGCAGGTACTTTATAACTTAAATACATGGAGTTTAGGATTCTTTTTATACCCTAAATATTTTTTTGCCAGTGATCTTAATTAAATAAATAAAAATGCTTCATATTTCTAAAACAATATATGTTCTGCTGCCTTCAAAGTAAGCCAGAAACGAGAGAAGAGATGAGCATAGCCTCTTAATATTGCTGGTTAGAGTTCTCAAAACAATCTTCACATTGCTCCCGCGCTAATTAATTGTCACAGAAAATACTGAAGTTGAAAAGCTGAAAATTTTCCGTTATAAGAATAACAGTGGTTTGATTGCTGAAATTTAATTTTGATGTAGCACTGTGTATGCAAAGGAAAACCTTCGTGCATTTTGGAAACTTGCTGGGTATGACATAGTTCATACTTTTGAGATTCATGATCCGTATAGCCTGACGGAGGGAGAAAGTCAGGTAGGGAGAATAAAAGAATGGAACAAAGTTTCATTGTGACTCCTACCTAACATTTTCCTTTATTGCTTTTGAAGTTTTAAATATATGGGATTCTCTGTGCAGTTACTACCACTGTAGATTAATGAGAAAATGCAGAAGGTTTGGAAAAAGAAGTCTCAGTTCTTAGGATGTTGTTTTTTTTCGTAGTGAACTTATATTGCTTCTTTCTAGTGTATTTGAATCTGCTATAACTATGTAAACTTTCTTCTGTTTTCACAGTTTGAAATTGACTCTCTCCTGCTTTCCTGCTTCAACTCCTACCAACACTCTATACTCTTTCTTTGTCTAGGGAATGGAATGTTGATCTGAAGAAATTGCCAAACATCACAATGAGAAAAATTTGTGCTAATGATGCAGTTCCCAAGAAGTGCAAGAGGAAAACTGTTATAACTGTAGACGAAGACTTCGGGGGTTTGGAACTAAAAGATGAATCAAGTGACTCAGATGAGGAAATGACTGCAGTGGGCTAATTGTCCTTACTTGAATTGAAAATAAATAATTTGAGACCTTCAAGTTATACTAATTGATTATGGAACATAATGTCGAGATACAAGAATTTGCTATTTAACTGATTTTCTTACATCATGAGAGTCCCATTTGCAGTTTCAAAAATGGTGTTAGGGTTTTTATTTAGAAATGAAGATTGCTTTTTATTTACATTAAATTGCTAAAATAGAAGTGATCTGCAAAAATTATTTAATCTGAATTTCGGGGGTGGGGAGCAATATGAGTGAAGACAAAAAATGTTTTAATTTTTTTCTCCTGTGTATTTAGGATTATGTAATCTGACATTTTGGTAAATGGACAGTAATCTGTTTTCTGAAAGGTTCCTGTGGATACTTCTTGAGCTGTGATGATAGCAAAATTATCTTTCAGCAATTATGTTACACTAATTCTCCTCTTAAACATTAAGCCTATTTTCTTTTATTATAAAGTAGGGAAAAATGTGATATGGAATTTGTGTACACTGATGGATTATACATTATTATTTTATGAGCCAGAGTTAAATGGTAAAAACAATTAACAGTGATTATTGATCTCCCACACTTAATCTGTTTATCTTTTGACAAAGGGGATAGATAATACCAGGTTAGCTCCTTTTGATTGTATATTATTTTCTGCTTTCTTATTCTGAAAAGTGGTAGGTTTTATTTGTGGAGACAGAACTAAAGATTAGAGAATCAATGATTTTAATTGTGTTATTTTTTTCTTCCAAGAGATAGGTTAAGTTGACATTTAACTCAATATTTCAAGTATCGTGAAAAACATGGATGTTGTAGAATTGTGTTCTTCACAGAACTTGTTAAATGCAAATATCCTGTTTTCTAAAGGATGCAATGCAAGTGTGTTTGAGTATTTTCAAGAAAAAAAACAATGCCGTATGAGGTTAACAGATATCAACTACATCTTGTTAACAGTTTACTTCAAATGTTAATTATTTTACTTTTGAAAGTTAAAAATAAAATGTATTTCCGTAATTTTACTTGTCATGGCTCTAATTATTTCACTTTCAGTAATGTACCTGATGCTGATTAGCTTTAGTAATCTATGTAAGAGAATGGTTTAATGATTACATAATAAGTTAATATCTCTTTAGTCATTGAAAAGTTTCCTTCTCTCTCTTTCTCTCTCTCTCTCTCTCTCTCTCTCTCTCTCTCGTTCATATTTAGTCTTAAAATGGCTGTAAAAACTGAGTCATAAGTTACAGTAAAGAGAATAAGAACTGTTTTATCTGGACTGATACTTAAAAGCCCATACTGTTAGATGAATAACTTGTGAAATTGGCAGATTGTCCTCCCCCTCAAACAATTGTTCCTAGTTTCCCCTGTGCTGTCAAAGCAAAAAATTTAACTAACAAGTTCCACTGCTGGGAACTCGAACAGATAGATAAATGTTTGTCGAATGAATGGATTTACTTTATCCTTTGTGACCATGGCAATCAACATCATGTTACTCCTAGCTGGACCAAAGTAGCTGAAGAGGTAACTTGTCTGTAGAGCGATGCTTTAAAATTATACCCTTAATCCTTGTCTGTAGAACATGATCTTTCTGTGGTAATAACTTGTACTCCCTTCATCTAGACCACTTTCAAATCAGTAGCATATTTTTGTAAGACAGCTTCTACAGCCCATGGCCATGGAACAAAGTAAAGGGAACTTTTTTGGCACTTCTGTGTAAACTATAGTAACTGTATTAGGCGTTGCAGGCCAAATGTAGTTCCATATTTATGTGTGTGCATGTGTGTTTTACCACCCTTTAAAAATGTAAAAACCATTCTGAGTCCGTAGCCATACAAAATAGTCCACAGGGGGCAGGATTGACTTGCTTGTCATAGTTTGATGACTCTTGGTATAAACCAATGAGCTGAACTTCCAGAGACATAGGTTAATGATACATTTCTAACTTCAGAGCAGCTCTAACTTCTGTGGTCTTTTTTCCTAATATTCTAGTTGTTTCCTTGCCTTTCTGACAGAGGTATCCCTTTAGTACCCTGTTCACCTCAGTAGAAGCTTTTTCTATTCTATCCCATATAACTTTCAGGGGCAGGAGATTGTGGTGGGTGTCCTCTTTGTCCTACTGCCACTTCAAAATAACTTCTCATTTAGGTCTTTGAAGTTCTATCATTATCTCCTTTTCCTTATTGTCTTACCTCTGAGAAGGACATCCTGCCCACTGGATGAATACTGTAGCTGTAGCTCCTGGCTTAGTTTGCTTCTCTATAGCAGTCATTTTAGTGATTCCTTATGGATAACAAATACAACACAATGACCTTTAAGTTTGCTAATCTTTTCCTCCATCCCATCACAGGCCGGGATCCTTAGCAGCACCTGGATCCTTAGCAGCAGCTGAAACTTCCTGTAGATTTGATTTTGAGAATTCCATTCTCCATTCACTATCTCTTATTCCTCTCCTTTGCTAAAGTTCTGTACTTTGACTTCACCCTTATTATACATCATCGTCTGTCTCCTGTCTTCAGGTTTTGTTTTGTTCAGCTCAGCTTCAGGTTCCTAGTTGCTTCCTTGCGTACGTCCTCAATTCCTTTGCCTGTGTGACTCTGCAAAGTATTCTTTCAAAGTCCACAGCAAGTAACACCCAGCTATTATCGGTTTCCTTCATGCCTGTTCCCAAGCAGCTGAGCATTGCTGAAGAATACCGGACAGGCCATCTTCACATTCATGCCAGCAAATCTAAAGTGGATTTTCAGTACTGTTCAGCAGTCTTACCATGTTTCCCTATTAAGTTAATTTTCTAACTTTGAGATAATAATTTTACTACTTTTTCATATTTTCTAGCTTGTCTTAAATACTAGCCTCCTCAATGTTCAACTGTTGGCTTTTTATACGCCTTTAAGTAAATAAAAACTATCATTTTTCTTCTCTTTTAATGGATATAGTATCTTTTTCTCCTTTCACAGGCAAACACTCCAACTTATGTTCTGGTCCCCACTCCCTATTGTCTTCTCAGTAACCCTGATTCTCCCCCAAGTTTTTTACCTAATTTCTCAAGCCAGACATCTGCCTATAAACTGTTTTTGATCCTTGACATTCTCTCTCCCATGCTCTCCCCTAACCTAATTTAATTAGCAAGTATTTCTGGATCCACTTCCAAAATGAAAGTCAAATCACTCCATGTTGAGCTGTCTCTGCTTTTCAGCCTACCTAAACCATATCTTGCCTGTCCTAGGTGCAGTGGCTTCCTAACTGTCCTCCTGCCACCATTCTTGCTCCTCTTGTCAGCACCCTGATGAGCTTGTGTGTGTCCACTTAGTCCATGTAGGCAAGGTTTTGCCGTAGCTGCCCCGAGCCTTGGAACAATGTCCTGTGATCTTCCTGGAACATGAAGATACAGGGGCCTCCCTGTCTCCTAGGGAGGGTACAGTTGAGTTCGTCATTACCTCCTGGGTTCTGATGAATTATGAGACTCCACCTCAAGTGCCGTTAGGGTATAAAACTACTGTACTTACACACAACGTGGAATTGGCATCCCAGCAGCAGGGTGACCTACCTCTGTGGCATTATCATGTCGTCTGGCCCGTCTTCCGTTTGTGTTGCTGTGGAACAAGACATACGCGGAGGTGGCACCTTTATCTTTGTATTTTACTGTCTATGTAACTATAGTTGGCCCTCTGTATCCAAGGATTCTGCATCCTTGGATTCAATCATCCACAGATAGAAAATATACAGAAAAAAAGCTGTACCTGTCCTGAACGTGTACTGACTTTTTCTTGCCATTATTCTCTAAACAATACAGTATAACAATTTCCATAGCATTCACATTGTGTTAGGTATTATAAGTAATCTAGAGATGACTTAAAGTGTACGGGAGGATGTGCCTAGGTTATATGCAAATACTGCCCTCTTTCTATATCAGGGACTTGAGCATCCATGTATTTGGGTATCCACGGGAGAGCCTGCAACCAACCCCCCACAGACACGGAGGGGTGACTAAACTGATTCTAACAGTGGCTTGTTTCCTTGCTGGCTGAATCTGTCAGCCTTTCCTGGCATTTCCCATTCAGGCCTCGGTACCTGCTGTTCACTGGTACAATGGCCTGCATTGCCATTCCCCTGAATTTTTGCAGGCCCTACTGATTGTTCTTTCATCCTTAGGTCTGAGCTTAAAAGTTACTTCTCTATCTAAAGTATCTCTATGCCCGCACCCTTGCTATTCTTGGTAATCTCTGTTACAGCACCTATTAATATTAATACTTCAGTGTCATTAGTTGAACACACAATGACAGTGATTAGTGATCTAGGAGTGTTTACTTTTGGGTGATGGGGGAAGATAATAAGGTCAGATATCCAATTTGGGCAGAAAAATGAGCTCATATTATTAGTAGACTAGTAGAAAGACCTGTAGGTGTCCTGTGCCAGCCAGTCCTACCCTGAATTTAGACTTAGATGTTAGGCATTTGAAAAGGGACATTTTCTTTGCTATCGTCAAAGCTCTTAGATTCCAATGTCTTTCTCTTGATGTTGATGACCCATGCAATTGTCTGAATCCACTCTTCTCTCTGAGTAGAAAAATGCTGTTATATTATGACTTTTCTATATCCAAGCCTTATTCTTGAGAAAATCCTTTGTAAGATTACATTGTGATTTTTTCTTAAACTTTTTAAACAGGTTTTGAAATTCCGTATAGATTATTTTCATTGGTTTTCCTCTGTAATGCACCTGTTTATTCCTTTTTACAATGTTATAGGTTAGTCAATGGATGTTTGCTTTAAAATAATTATAAATACAGTCAGACCCTTGTAAAATCTTAAAAATATCCCAATGTTTGAATGTTTCAGATACAAATCTGCAGGAATCCCAGTATGTTATGCAAAAAGTATAGAAACCACAACCAAGGTTTGGGTCACTTATTTTATATACAAAGTCTTTCACAGATAATTTTTTCTTAATTTGTCTTAGCACACATTATTCACAAAACAGTAAATCATTAATGCAAGAGAATTAGGTAAAACCAAAGATGTACAAATGTCCAATTTCAAAAATTGCACACAGTTAAAATAATATTTTCTTCTTTGTTTTAATACAATATCCAATTTCAAAATGGGCTTTCTTCAATGCGGAGGAAACACTGCAGCCCAAAATAACAGTACTTCCTTTCAACTGTATCGATATGTAAAATAGCACCATTGGGCTGATTTAAGGAAAGAAAAAAGGTTTTCATCTTTCTTAATGTATTATATAACAACTGTAATAATAATGATGATAACTTTTAAAAGCTCTACTTTGTTCCAAAATACTCATTTCGAAGCAAGGAAGGGTAAATTCTGTGGGGCAGATGGAATAATCTTCCCAACTCAGCCCCAAGATCTTTATAATTTCTCTTAACGATGTTTTAAACTTTTTTTTTAACAGGTTTTGAAAGTCTCTATAGATTATTTTCATTGGTTTCCCTCTGTGATGCAGCTAACTTTTCAGCGAAGGAACAGATGTTTTAAAGGGTACCAAATGACCTTTTGTGAAACCAGATAAAATATAACTGAGGCCATTTCTATGGGACTATAGTCACATGTGACAGCAGCTCAGTGTGCGATTTAATGCTGGGGCATTTTGAAAGACTTCTTCACTATATACCTATCTTCCTTCATTTATGCATTGCTGTATCCCAGGTTCTTGGGATCACTTTGTTTTGTTTTGATTCTCATTTTGTTTTTGTACTTAAGATTAATTGCCTTTTGGGCTCAAGGTGGAATTTCATTCTTTTATAATTTATTAATCTTTAATCCTATACAATAAAAGTGACAGTTCTTTAGTTAAAAAATTAATAGCATTAATATCTGTGGTTTATGGTATTGATAATATCACAGATTCATGATTATAAAAAGCCAAGATTTTGAATAGAACTGTAAGTCCATTCTTCGATTTTAGTCCTTTGTTTCAATTCCATTTTATTTCTTACATGAGCAGGTAAACATGCCTCAAAAAACTGTCACTCTGTAGTGCAGTGTCTCTTTTGAGGAGTGTATCCAGTTCACACAAAGCACTACTACAAAGCTAAATCTTTTCACTGTTTGAAAGGGCAAATATTCCATTGCCATACAGAATGTAAAAAGAAAATAATCAGCACTGGGTTTTAAATCATGTAGTTATCTGATGTTTGAACCACAAACAGCCATTGCAGGAAAGCTTTTTAAAGATCGAAATTTAGAACTTAAGGGTTTTAAAAGGTCAGAAGAATAGCAAAATAAAATATTGACTTTTAATCTACCAGGGAGCTATATTGTTTTTCTCATTTCAATAAAATCAAAACCCACAAAAGTTAATTTTGACAATTTAGGTGTAGTTTTAAAACCCCATGTCATCTTTTGTCATGAATACAGTAATGCTTATCTTTGCTTTTCATTTTAGAAATGTTTTCTTGGTGTTAAGTGTAGCTCTTAATAAATGAGGCTTTATTTTAGCCAATCATCTCCCACTGTGAACTGAGCTCTGCACTTATCTATCTTGCTTAGGTTCGTACAGAATTTAAACAGTATTTTCGATAGTTATTAAGGTAAATAGTCCTTTTACTTCCAGAGCAAACAAAAGAGAAATCAGCATTTCTTTGTTTGCCGGTGACTAGATTTTTCCACCAAGAATATTTGTAAACAGCATTTTGTCGTTGCTAAACCACAGGAAAAATGGATTAGTAAAAAACTTAGAAAAATTAACAGGAAAATTGTATCAAGCTTAATCTCTTGGGTGTGGTGTCATGGTTAAATCACCCAAAGCCTTATTATTCATAAATGTATTTATCTTAAATCTTTAAAACAAATTTAAAAGGAATTTAATACAAAGTGTAGCTTGTTTAAGTTTCATATATTTTTAAAAAACACCATGTATGTCTTTATTTGTACGAATTTTTGGTTCAGTTCAATTACCTCTACTTCGTTTTCCCTATGCTTTTAACAAGTTTTAAGAAAGATGAGTTTTAAACCTTTCGTTTCCTGACTGAATACCTTAACATTTTTCTTGTATCTACACATGAATACACACACACCACACACACACACACAAAATTGACATTGTTCACTTTTCTTTATTTCTAGGATGGGGACTATTTGGACTCAGTGTCAGCCACTACTAATATTCATACCATCTTTCTCCTCATAAAAAGGTTATTTTTTTCCCCTTTTTCTATGATAATCTGTGAACAACAAGCACACTGATAATTACAAAGTGCATCGATGTGATACCCAGATCTGTGCAATGCAATACCCATGCTTTGGTTCTTACGGCCATCGTTGCCTTTCACATTAATAAATATGACAGCTAACAAAAATAAGTCACCTTTTTTTATGTAGGATATCTTTCTTTGACTGGCTACTATATCTGTAATCAATCTAGCTCACTGCAATATCATTCACACTTTAGTTTTACATGAATATGCAAGAAACATAATAATCAATTGTCAAACCTAAACAATTTATTACTTATCACAAAATCTGTTGAATATTTTTGCTTCCCAACTGAGCAAGGGAAATCCTGTCAGCTTTTAACAATAACATCTAGATTCTTGGTCATAATTACTTATCTGTCAAGTTGAAACCTTGTGTGTGTGTGGGGGGAAACCTTATGCATCTAATTTAATAACAAAAAAAATTTAATTTTTATTTCCCTATCATAAGTGCTTCCTAGCAGCAAACAGAAGTCAATTTCACAACTTTGCTACAGGCAGATTGCTTTATCTTTCTATACTTAACCCTTTAGAGAAATGTGAACTACATCTAACTCTTGAAACCAGGATATTTAATTTGATTTAGTGCTTTGTAAAATCATACCATTTGTGGGGCTTGAAATAAAAGAATGAATTAAGCTGCTGTTTTGAAATATTCAACTGTTAAATAAAGCAGAGGCCTAGTCTCTAATTTGGGGGCTGCGCTATCCAATAAAGTTAATTCAAATTGAGGTGTGCTGTAAAATACAAAGTGAATTTTGGATTTTGAAAACTTGGTTCAAAAAAAGAGATGTAAATTATCCTATCTCCATAACTTTTTATATTGATGTCAGTTGAAATAAGTTATATATATAGTGTTAAATAAAAAATATTATCAAAATTAATTTCACCACTTATTTTTGTCTTTTCTAATGGGGCTAGTAGGAAATTAAAAATTTACATATGTGGCCTGCATTTGTGGCTCATGTTCTATTTCTATTGGACAGCATTGTGTTAGAGGGGCGAGACAAAATAGAGGACCTGATAGCTGATTTCTGTGGGTATTTAACAGAACTAATTAAACCCAAAAATTCTCTGAAAATCTTCGGTTCATGATTTAAACAATTCTGAGTATCAATATCCTCAAATGTATATTGCATCTGTTTTAAAAACATGCATCTGTCAAAATAACTGGACTCCACTATAGCCCATAAAAATCTGTTAGCTGTCCGAGTATATCAAAATATGCATCCTCCGAGTTTGCTTCCAATGTGACTCAGTGATAATGCAGACAATGTCAGGCTTAAAACCAAATATGTTTGTTATTTCCAAATGAGATAATTAACATTACAAGGCCCTAGAAGAAATACACATTGCGATTCAAGTTTGCAATTTTGAACTTCTCCCCTGCTACTACAAAGAGTATCACGGTCCATTTAATTGTTACCATTGCCTAAAAGCATCCATTGCTCCAGTGGTTCTTAATTGTTAGATTTCCATATCACACTTCAGGCTATACTTCATGGGATCCTGGTCATTTGGTGTGTTCTCCTTTCCTTTTTGAGCAAAGTAAGGAAAAATGCGTCAGTAGGAGAAAGGAGGAGCTAAAGGAAGTGAATAATTCAGGATCACTTCTGTCACTTGTAGTGGCTGAGGGCTAGAAAGATACTCCTCAGTGAAGAAACTCTCAACTGGTTCCATCAAACTGATACAACTTCAGGGGGGCCGCTCTCTGCAGATGGCAGTGAATTTGTACCTGTTTGTGACACAGGCACTACCACAGCGTCCTTGATGTCTGTGTTTACATTGCACGAGAAGTTCTTCTCCAGTTTTTTGGCAGTGTCTGGGCAATTCTGTACAAAGATCACACGGTTGTAGGCCTTCAGCCTGCGCCACAACTGAACGTAGACTTTACACTGCACGTACATGAAGACGAGACCTCCTGTAAAGCCAATGGCCACCACAACCAGTTTTGTCCAAAACGGCCATTCAAGGACACCTTTGAAATACGAAAGAGAGAATGTTATCAATAAATTGTTATCAGTGGATTTGGTCATTGTTTTCTATGGCCCCTTCAAAATACCATACCTGCTTGCTAAATTATGTTGATAAGGAATATATTGTTAATAACTAGTAAGACTTATAACCTGAATTGGCATAATGCCTTTCAAATATCCTAAATGTATTGTTAAAATTGTATATGAGGAAATTTTCTTTCCTGCCACTGTAATGATCTCTGTTTCTCCTAGCATCAAGTACCTCTGATAATTATCAGATACTGTGCTAGATTTGGACATTTGGAAACTTTGACATTTATCCCTTATAGCTAAATCTTTAAGGAAGGACAGTGAACCTCCTAAGTGTAAGAATCAGAATTTAAAATCTTTTTAAGAAGATAAAGTAGTGGGTACATGTATGGGCTTATATGTATAGATCCTCCCCTTCACCCTCATTCCTTTCTGAAATTAAAAAAAGGAAGGAAGAAGGAAGGAAAGAAGGAAGGAGGGAAAAGGGAAGGGAAAAGAAGAAGCTACAACAGTCACCAGAGAGAGAAAGAGAGAACTCCTGAGCCTGGACACACAAAAGATTAAGGATTTTAGTCATTTGTTCCGTAAATCATATTTGTCACTGAGAACTATCACTTTCTTAGACATCTATATTTTCTCTTAATTTCCATCACCATTATTAGTAACAGGCTTTCTTTTACAAAGAAACAATTTAAAAATTATTTCACAGGAGTTTCTGTAACTACAACAGTGAGTATTTAGGCCACACATTATTAATATTATGAATGTTAGATAGATGATGGTCAAGAGTCCACCTCTTGCCAACATCAGGATGGTGCAGGGAACATAACAGCTGTCTTCATTTATGTGAAAAGTTGTCAAGTAAAAGAGTATAGCTCAGTATGGTGCACCAGGAAAGACTGGTGGAAATGCATAGAAACCACAGTAAATGAGAGTCAATGATTCTACTTTGGGTTTTTATTTACTTATAACAATGATAGAGTTATAAGAAATATTCTACCTGTATCTTGTAGTAATGGCATGTGCTTTATGCTTCTGGAAACAAAGCAAATGCTATGCCCTGTTTACATCATGATGAAGCACTTTGTACTTGAAGATTAACCAAAAGTAACAGGGTCACCCTCTCCATTTTTGGTCCCAAAATAATGAAACATTGAGCATTTCTTATATTCCCAGACTCCCAGAAAGGATAATTTTATCCTTGACTTTTACATAGCTGATGTTTCAAGTTATGTCAAACCTTTTTGGATATGATAATCATGTGATAAGATTTTATTTTTTTCCACCATGAACAACTAATGCAAGTTTAGTAATTATGTCGATTTTCTTTATGTTTTTCTTTAAATGCCTGTTATGTTTTTCATTTGGTGAGCCAGTCTTTCTGAAGTCTGACTCCCTTGAACCTTTGCAAGTAAACTCTTTTTGTTTTTAAAATGCTTTGACTTTAACTCTTCCTTTGAAATCTTGAGAAAAAATGCTCTCTGATCCTAAAAGGAATTGTCAAAAATATGAAAAGCCTCTCACTACTGTTGATGTTTTATTCATTTGTTGCTGTTTGGCATTGTCAGTCTAAAATGAATTCTATGCTTCTTTCAGTAATCAAACCTAAAATTTAATTTTGCAGTGGATTAAATATTTGCAGCATAATTTATTAGAACCTTTACCAGTAACAAAGATCATATTTTTCTAACTCCTAATTTGCAAGGACTTCTTTATGATTTGATTAACTCATAGTAATCATCGTCTTGAATACATACTTGATCCCAATGGAAATAATACTTCAAAATATCATTGGCCAAAGCCCACACAAGGAAAAATAGATAATCTGAATAGGCCTATATCTATTAAAAATTAAATAAAAAATTAATAACTTTCCAAAGCAGAAAGCCCCAGGCCCAGATAGTTTTACTAGTAGATTCTGCCAATATACAAAGAAGAAATTACATCAATTCTCTACTTTCCAGAAAATAGAAGCAGAGGGTACACTTCCTAACTCATTCTATGAAGTCAGCACTACCTAATATCAAATCAGATAAAAACATAACTCTAAAGGAAAGTTATAGACCAATATCTCTCATGAATATAGGTGCAAAAATCCTCAACAACATATTAGCAAATTGAATCCATTTGGAAAGTTTGAAAGAGCCTGAACCTTACATACAAGAGTGTAAGTGTGTGCATGTGGTGATGGTGGGCAAGAGAAGTTGGAAGCAAACATTTTACACAGACCCAAGAGAGGAGCAAGTGTTGGGAAGTAGATGTGAAGGGCTGAGAGAATGTTCAGCCTCATTGGCTATGGCTAGGTCATGGGGCAGCCCAGTCCCACCAAGGAGTTTCGGTTACATTTTAATGGTTGAGTGGGTATAGGATGTGATAAGATTTGCATTTTTGTAAATTTGCTGTGATTTCATTACTGAGCATGGGTTGAAGATGGGTAAAACTGGAGAAAGTCTAGTTAAGAAGTCTTTGCAGTTTTATTTGTTTTTGAGATAGGGTCTCACTCTGTTGCCCCAGCTAGAGCACAGTGGTGTCATCAAAGCTCACTGCAACCTCAGACTCCTGGGTTCAAGCAGTCCTGCTGCCTCAGCCTCTGAGTAGCTGGGACTGCAGGAGCGCGCATCCATCACACCCGGCTAATTTTTTTCTACTTTTGGTAGAGACGGGGTCCCGCTCTAGTTGAGGCTTGTCTTGAACTCCTGAACTGAAGTGATCCTCCTGCCTCGGCCTCCCAGACCTGCTAGGATTACAGGTGGGAGCCACCAGGCCTGGCTGCCTTTGCAGGTTTTAAGTAAAAAAATGACAGTTTGCACATGAATGGCAGCAGTGGGGAAAGAAAGAAATGGATGGATTCCAGAGGCATATGGGACAGAAAAAATAGGATTTGGTGACTGATTGAAGGTAAAAGAGAGAGGTGATGAGGAACGAAATTTGTATGTTGGATTTGGCTCCTGGGTATTGGTGATGCCTCTCCCACAGGTGTTAGAGTGAGAAGTGGTCATGGATTATGAGATGGGACATTTTGAACTTGGGATGCCTGGAAGACCTTCAGCAGGAGGCAGACATTAGGAGGTAGGTGGATGCATGGGTGGAGTACACTATGAGCTGGAGATAAATTTGGGAGGTTATCAGCATAGACATGGCAGCTGAAGATGTAAGAATACCCTGGGGTCTATAGACTGGGCAGCGAGACTGAGAGACAAATGGAAAGAATCATGGGGCCGTGGGTTTCTTGGGTTCTGGAGAGACTTTGGTGGCTGAAGCTAAGACAATCATGTTCATTGTAGGATAAATGATCACTATTCGTTCATATGTCTTAGAAGTGCTGTTGAATAAAATCAGTGTAAGAGAGGGTCTTCTTGTGGGTGTCTGTGGGGGTCTACACATGGACAAGAAAAGATTGCTGCTTCTTGTTATTCTAGGACAGGTTCCATTAACTTTTTTTCCCTTTACTGTGGCTTGAGGAGAACAGGAGCCCTGCAGTCTTCTGCCTCAGAGAGGCCAAGTCCGGACGACTGCTGCGAGAGACTGTATCACCTCGGGGCACATTTATGGTTCTGAAACACTGAACTTTAAATTTGTTATCAAAAAATATTAAGTCTCTAGCCATCAGATCTGCCCTTAATTGCTGGAAAAATGCTTCAGTCCTAAGGTAGTGTATTGGCTGAGGGGAAGTAGGGGTGCTTCTGTTTTTTCATCCCTACGTGATTGCAGAGTCTGTCGCACACGTTTTGTTTGCTGGCTTGGGCCAATACCTATGTCTAGAGAGGACATGGATTGGGTGGGTGGGGTGGGGTGGGGGAAGGTCCTTCCCTCGGGGAACTTACTTAACAGGGATGTAATAGGACATTTTAAAATCCAGAATCTCTGAAACAATACATAATATAATTGCAAACAATGCAGTGTGATATATATGGTATATAAATGAGTTAATACTGAACAAATAAATAAAAACAAAAAACCCCACCCTGTTTTTCTAGCATTTAGACTTGACTCAACAGTACTTTCATTGCCTCTCAGAAGAGGACAGTGGCACCTGCGACTCTGTCACATCCTCTCGCTGAGACTACATAAGTCACAAACCACATCTACAGTGCGCAGGGCGCGGCCTTAGTCCTCTCTGTCCACTCGGCCGGGTTCTGCTTCCTGATGGCGCGGAGCGAGCGCACACTGCTGTGCACTGCTGCCACCTGGTGGTAGAACGTGACAATGGCCCGTCTTCGCCTTCTGCATTTATGAATCCACACGAAGAAACACGGAAGTATTATGACAAACCTTTCTGAGTTTTAATAACGGCAGTCCCCTACCTTTTTGGCACCAGGGACCGTTTTCACGGAAGATGATTTTTCCACCGACGGGGGGGGGGGGTTCGGGATGATTCAAGCGCATTACATTTATTGTGCACTTTATTTGTATTACTATTACATTACAGTAATGTAATAGTAATGAAATAATTATATAATGAAATAATTATACACCTCACCATAGTTTGGGGACCCCTGTTTTAATTCTTTTCCTTCTTTCTTTTTGTCTCATTTCCTCCCATCTTTTTCTTTAATTTTCTTTTTTTGAGGGGATGGGGCTTGGGGGAATATGCAAACATTTTACATAACATTACTAACTTAAAAAAATGTTATCATTCGAACAATTTTTCTTTTCAGTGGCCTCGGTGGTTTAACATCGTTTCCTGGGGGGCTGTGGGGATGTTTCTCACTGTTTTACCAGCTGTGATTTACAGCAGACTAAAGCCCACAGAGCCCGATGAGAAACAGAACTGGGGACATTTAGATGTGAAAATAATATTTTATAGCTATTGTGCTTCCTATTTTTGCTTCTGTCTTAAATGACCTATCCACTTTAAATGTTAGAATATGCCTTACTGATTTTGAAACATCTTTCTTTGCAGACTTGACACCATCCTTCACGATCAAACTTCACATGACTAAAATTTCAAAGCATAGTGCCAGCCCGTTCTGTCAAATTGTATAGTACTAAGAAGCTATAACACATCGTTCACTGGAATGTCATCTTATCCATGCTTCACTATTTGCTTTATTTCTTTAACTTAATCCCCAATGTGATAGTATTATTTATGCTGTAAAGGAAGAAATGACTAGAGTGAATTAAATAAAATGAAAACGCCTTGCATTTTTATAACCGTTTGTCTTATCACATCAGGCATAACCTGATCCTTACTCAGCTCCTGAAACACCGGAAGTGGTGTATGCCACCTGTGTGCTACTCCCTGCCAAGTTTTATATGGATTTGATAAATAAATCTCAGCTTGGGACCCCATATAGTCAATTCTTTATAGTCAGAGTATTAATCAGTAACATAATTGGAGAAGACTCAACAGCAAGTACTGGTTTTTGCTAGTGTATCACACTTGAAGACCTAAACTGGGGAATTAGCGTCCTTTTCCACCTCTGGGTATCATCATTAGAATCCAAGAGAGGAACAAAGGAGAAAGACATGCTCTTACCGTTGTCGTTGCCTTGCTTGATTTCCTCTGCTGTCCGATCTATCAGTACGTACAAGGACCAAACCACACAGGTGATCGCGATGACATGGAATGTGACAGAGCAGAATATTTTCCTCCTTTCGCTCGTGGTCATCTGTAGTTTCTCCCACTGAAGTCAGAAAGGAACCACACAAAACCGAATTTCTAACTAAGAAATTTCACTCCCCTTTTATTTCCCGGACGTAGATCGTGAGTGGAAGGAAAACATTAAATAGCTGCAATTTCGGATGTCACTATTAAATTCAAATAAATCTTCATGTTTGGAGAGAAATGAAATCATAATTGGCAGAGTCATATATAACAAATATAGATTAAAGTGAAAACAAAAATAATTTTCTATTCTCCATGTGAATTAAATCAAGTTATTTCTGTTTAGCAAGTCTATAGTTTCCTCACCTTTAACATGAATGAGACAGTTTTAATATTGTACAGTTTTTAGAAAACATCTCTTTTTTGGTTCCTGCCTATCACTTCTTTGTAGTACTAGGCTAGAAGTAGTAGTAGGTAACATTGTCTTCTTGGATTATTATATAACTGGACATAGTTTTGCATTCTTGAATGTATACTAGAGTGCCGTGGCATCAGTTCACAGCAACCTCAAACTCCTGGGCTCAAGCAATCCTACTGCCTCAGCCTCCCAAGTAGCTGGGACTACAAGCATGCGCCACCATGCCTGGCTAATTTTTCTATATATATTTTTAGTTGTCCAGCTAATTTCTTTCTATTTTTTTAGTAGAGACGCGGTCTCGCACTTGCTCAGGCTGGTCTCGAACTCCTGTAGAAAAACAAATTTTACCATTGGAACAATGGGAGAAAATCTTTGAAGCCCCTGTTAAAGCATCCTTGATTTTCTTCTGCCATGTGGGTTGTAACTGCTATGACGACCATTGCCTCGTAATCACACTCCTTGGAAAGGTGAGGGCTCCCTCAGTCTGGGAGAAGAAGAGGACCACAAGTTTTACAGAAGTAAGTGAAGGTTTGTAGACGGAATGGTTCCTATATTCACTTTGAAGAAATAGTCTCCAAAATAAATTTTAATGTTTTTATAGTTGCAGTATCACTTCATTTCTACGTTAGGAATTGTGTCTTTATTTTTCTTTGCATTATTTCCATAAGAAAATCAAATCACTGTGATTTTATTAGAGGTGAACTGGTGTGCCAAGCTTTTAATAATCCATGATTCTTTACAACATTATGCCCTTGCTAAAGTAAAATTCAGAAGACCCTACTCCTTCCCCCCTCCACCAGTATACACGCAGAATTCAATGCACAACTCAACCAAAACCAAGAAGGTGTACATTATCTTACATAAAGTCCTGGCCCTGCTATCAGCTTTGAGACATGGGTGAAATCGCTTACTCTCAGTGGGCCCTGCTCGCTGCATCTTCATGAGGAGCAGATTGCAGCAGAGGCTGTGACAGAGAGGTAGAGGAAGAGAATAACCATTCTCCGCTTCCTCCTTTATTGACAGACCAATTTTACTATGGTCGGCGTTGTGCCCAGATTAAAGCTGCCTTTCCAACCTTCCTTGGCAGAAGTGGACATTGACTATTTTCCACCAGTGAGATGGGAGTGGATATCTACTTGGATGTTGAGCTTTTGCCTTTCTGATACAGGAATTGTCCCTTTGTCCTTTCCTTCCTTTTCTCTTTTTGTGGCCTGGAATTTGTAAATAACAGGAATAGTGTCGACAGCCATCTTGCACGCTCAAGGCAAAGTCTTGAGAATTGGAGAGACCTCAGCCCAATCAGCAATCGCTCACCTTTGGACGCCCTGTTACATGTGAAGAAAATGAAGGCCTCTGCGATTAAGCCATTATTTCCCAGGTTTCTGCTACTTGTTGCCCAATGCACTTCTTGATGAAAAAATTAAATAGGCAATTCCTACATTCTCTTCCAGTCTAAAGATTAAGATCCTCTAATTTCATTTGTAAGAGAACAAAATACTTAAAGTATGACCTTGATGCTCCAGAGAGCTTTTTAAACATTTTAGAGAAAAAAAATATTTTTTCGCAAACACCATCTATCCTCCTCTTACTGGCCAGTCATCACATAATTTTCCTCATAGGGCTCTTCTAGAGTTAACCAACAAGTCATACTTCATCTTGCACTTTGTTTTGCATCAGACTATATTTATGTATTATTCCAAGTGAAATAATAGAGAAATCTTAATAATGTGGATAAGGAATAAACAGATGCCTCAATTTAGACTCTATTTTAAATTAATCAACATTGAGAAGATTTTAGTGTTACTATGACTTTAATCAAAATTTCACATCATATCTGTGAAAGACTGATTTTTAAAATCATGTTTTGGTATTGATTTACTGTAATGTTAATGTGAATAACTTGTATAATCATAGAATATATTCATTTGGCAATAGCATTTTGTGATTTAATAAATATTCCTTGAATTATCTCAGTATTTAATATAGCCAAATAAAAAATGTAGGATGGTGCAGAAAAGTAGCTCCACGTGTTTAAATTTCCGAAGTGTTCTAAGTGTATGAGAATAACTTCAGTAACAAAATATTCATACTAAGTCAACCGTCAGTTGTAAAAGTGGCTTAAAAACACCTTAAAACTGGGGCTTCTTGTATCTATGGAGCAATTTGATGAAATGGCTGGAATTCACTATTCAAAACAAATGAGCCTCAAAAACATCAGTGGATCTGACAAGGACAGGACAAAACATTTGTAAAAACTCATCTAGTTCCAGACAGCAGAAGCTCTGAGGTTGTCACTTGTAAATCTCAGTAATGTTTCAAGGAGAAGTGAAGTGTAAGGGGACCATCAACCGTGTCCACTTTATAAATCCCTACAGGAACCATTCTGAAACTCAGAGACCGCACACGAGCAAATGTGATGCCACAGTGCCCTCTTCCGAACGATTACATTACTGCATGCAATATTCACTGCATGGCGCCGGCAGAAATCAATGCATTTTATAAAACACCTTTCATAATATTGTCTTTTCAGGTTTGTAAACAAAGTTCCAATAAATTTTGCAAACCTTCACAGTGAGGAATGGATTGAGAAGATAAGAATAGAAATCTTACTTGAACAAAGCTGTCATGAAAGTGCTTTGGTTTAATAATTGTGATTCTGAAATTCAATAGCAGCTCACAAAAGATTTTGTGATAGGAAAGGTTTTAACAAGGCTTCAGGTGATTCTGATGCAAGCTAAAGTTTGAGAACTACCTGCCTAATGAATGACACACCAGAGATGCATCGTGACCTAAGTGGAGTCTATATTAGAGGTAGCACTTGTCACTCCCTGTCACAAGCTAATTAGTAGTCCAAGGACAGGAAATCAATGAACAAGTTTGGTTTTCTGGCTGTGACGTAAATATTTCAGGTTGAGTGAAAAATTTACAAAATTAGTGAATTTGTTTGAGAGAAAATATAGTGGTTTGAAGTTAGCTCATTAACCACTAAAACAAACTGTTTCATTTTTTTATTTTAAAATTAGTGTTTAGGGTAACAGGAAAGCCTATTCAAATCTAATTATATTAGTTACAACTTCCAATATTTTGAAAGAGAACTAAACAACAGACAATTATGAGAACTCTTGAGACCTTAATGAATCTTCAAATTCACAGACACGCCTTGTGGTAAATAATTTCCCTTTTAAAAATGTATTTGAAAACACCAGAAGAAATATCTGACCTCTTTAGACCTTTAATGAAATCTGCTACAAACCTGAGGATAGGGAGGGAATAAGAAAGCCATGCAGGCGGTGGGCAGTCGGGTAAGTTCACTGAGTAGTTAAGGTGCTCACTATTGGACACTGGTCAGAAAGTGTGCACGGCACAACCTTGTCCCCCCATAGAATTACAAACAAGAACGCACGTGGGTTCCCTAGCTTTCTTACTGAGAGTCAAAACCTCAGACTTAATATCTACAAATGCTCTGTGAATATGCTATAATTTCTTAGAAAATCTTTTTCCTCTTAGTTCTCTTACACCTTGGGTCCACCCATTATAATTATTTGGCGTTTTCTGTGCTTGGGCCAATGTGAAGGGATATTATATATAATTTGTAATTGAATGCAGCTCCTCTGTTTCTCTTGATAACAGGACAGGAGGGAAATGGTCTAATAGTGCACAAGGGGTTCGGATCTACATCCAAAGAAATTTCAAGTGGAAACAGCGAGGTATGGGCCATGTGTCCAGATGAACCTAGGAGGTCTCCAATCCAAATACACATAACAGATGGATGACTACCATCTTGGGATAGTTGTACACATGTTTATTTAGAATTGGCAGAAGGAGTTATTGATATCTCGGATAGAATAAAGATCTTTGATACTCAGGTTAGGGTAAAGATAACACTGCAAGCAATTGGTAGTCTTGTTGAAAATTGATTTATAAACTGTCCCCCAAAAAGAGGAATACCTGAGAACCTAAAATCAGTGGTTTCATTTTGCTGCCACTCAGTTTGAGTTGTCATTTGCATTCTGAACTACTGAGTGATGTGCACTCCCTGAGCATGGAAGTGAATAATAATAACAATTATTCAGTTCTAGAAGTCCTTTATATTTAGAAGTAGCTTTCAGTGTTGGCTGCTTAACAGATTCATCTGGGCAAGCTAGTTCCCAACATACACACCCAGGCCTTGTTGAATTCATCCCTGAGGAATGAATCATGAAATTTTGCAGTGTATTCTGCCTGTGATCCAAGGTGTACTTGTTAAGAATGAGGGCACTATGCTATATATCCAATAAAGGGCTCATTACCAGAATCTACAAAGAACTCAAGCACAGCAAGAAAAAAATCAAACAACTCTGTTAAAAGTGGGCAAAAGACATGAACAGAAACTTTTCAAATGAAGATAGACTAATGGCCAACAAACATATGAAAAAATGCTCAACATCTCTAATCATTAGGGAAATGCAAATCAAAATCATGAGATACCATCTAACTCCAGTGACAATTGCTCTTATCAAAAAGTACCAAAACAACAAATGCTGGTGGATGTGGAGAGAAAAGAACACTTATACACTGTTAGTGGGAGTGCAAACTAGTACAACCTCTATGGAAAGTAGTATGGAGATACCTCGAAGAACTAAAAGTAGGCCGACCATTTGATCTAGCAATCCCACTACTAT